GTTCACAAAACATCGACGAATATATCGCGAAGAGCTACAAATGTGTGTATGGCTCGGCGTATGGGATAAAAACCAAACGTACTTGCAGGTTCGGTGAGTCCGGGATTGGACGCACCTCCCTGCAAGTACGTTTGTTATAGAGTCTAAGGCCGGAAAGCCACATGCGCAACTCAGTGTGACGCGACGACACTCTAAAAAATTAACGCGTTAAAAATCTTATCGCCAAAATTTATTGATGCGTACTCTAAAAACAAATCATCATGTACGAGAACTAATATAACCAATTTTGTGTCTATAAAGACAACTATATATATCAGTTTCCCCATACCACTATTGTTTAATTTTAACATTTCTTTTCAGGAAATTTCAATATTTACAGTATGTGCATGAATGAACCTACGTTTTGACTCCAAATATGGAGCAGAATGTTGCTGTTCTCACGTTATTTACAGTATACCTGTTCCTGTGTTCAGTTCTCTTCTGAATTCGGAACGATTTTCAATTTTGGAAATACAGAACGATTTTCAATTAAATCTTTTCCGTGATGATGATCAAATTAGAAAACATCATGTGAACACATTTTAAAAATTATAGTATAGGCATGCTATAATTTTTAAAATATCGCTTTTGCATAAATAGAATCCATGCAAATCATATTTGAAAGCAAATCTTCTAATCACTTTAAATAATAGTTGTGTACGTTCACTTTACGGTCTTTTTAAGTAACACTTCATGTAAATTATCCATGCCATGTAAAGCAGAATTTTCTGATGCAATGCCCTTCCAGATATGATCAACACCAGGGGTGGAAAAAAATTATTTTCTTTCTGGGAACCTGGGTCGAAGTCTAGAAATTTTCTGAAAAATTTGCAATGTTACAATTACAAAAATAACAAAACAAATGCATAATTATTGTATTTTTTGTACTTTAGTAATAATAGGCTTTAGGCTGGTTTTAGTATGCTCGTACATCGAAATAGTTGGCTGTTATATACCACAGTTATGAGTTATGACCAACTAGTAAGGATCTAACGCTTAACTAAGTGTCCTATCATCTTATTTATTCCATCACTTTTATTTGTTTACTATTTAATTTGCTTTTTATTGGAGACTTTGCAGAGCATATACTGTTTACCATTTTACCTTATTGTGATAGCAGGGGTGGGTAAAAGAATTACTTTCTTCAAATATTTATAAGCTGCTGACGTTATCGTGTACAGTGTAAATAAAGTAGAATAGTTGTGACTTGTAAGTTGAGTAAAGAGTGATATATCTCAAAATGTTGAAATATTTTCTGGAAAATTTTCTGCAAAACTCTAAACTCTGGGAACGAGGTTCCCAGGTTCCGATACTTTTTCTACCCCTGATCAACACTGAAATACAGTGGCGTTCTTTATGCTAAAGTCCCCGGTATAAAAACTGGAATAGGCCCCTGCCCATTTTAAGTGGCAACCGGGGGGGGCTACGTCAAAAAGATGCTAAATTTGCTGAAATACATCAAATTCGCCACTTTGTTATCCTTGTTCAGTGGATCCCTAAATTATTTAGGCCCCTGGCATGCTGTAATATAGTGGAAAGCTTCATATTGATAGGGATACAACTACCTGAAAAATACAAGGAGAACTTCGACGTTTTGAGCGAAGGTCCTTCGTCTGGAACTTGGCTACTAACTTATTATTGGGACTTCTATGCTAGCACAGACCATTCAAAACTGCAATATCCTCACTATTAGAAACCTACTGATGATACCAAAACTTTTGAAAATGGCGTGTTAAGGTAAGTACAGTAATTATTACCGACCAACGGGAATTTTCCTACTAATCCCGTTTGCAGGTCAGGCGTGAACATTAGCTCGTACCCATGCTTTTGCGACGTATGTGGATGACGATTTCAATCACAAGATCGTTTCTTGGTGGTCCTTTATGCAATTTACAAAATCAATATGAAATAACACGAAAATCAGTGAAAAGTAAAAAAAGCACAAATTAAAAGTTTAAACGTAGCGAAAGGCAAAACATGCTGTTTGACAATTTCAGGCTTCAGAAAGTTCAGATATTTTCATTCTTGAACTTTTAGTTCGCGCTAACTTTTAAGTTTCGTTCAGGAAAATATTCATTTTTGACATCACAGTAAAACTACCCTATTAATATATCCGAATATAAGCGCATGCGCCTTCTAACCGTCAAAATTTGTGACATGAACTGACCGACCAGAACCATTTTCTTAGTACAAATACTTTAAGTTTTAAATTATCAACAATGTCTATTATAAATTGCAATTATATGGTTAATGATAATTTTTATTGTTTTGCACTATTAAAAATATATAAATCATTGCGCCAATTCTCGCTCGAATTCTCGTACCCAGACCACATGCGCGTAAATCTGGGTAAAAGAGTCCAATGCGCCTATAAGTGAAATTTTATAGGTGCACGCGCCTATATGAAACGTTAATTTTTACTCAACAATTTTTAAAAAATTGCAGAAAATTCGTCTAAAGACGCTGTGCTTATATGTGGGATGATAGAGTAACAGTTCTTTTCATATTATATAGGTAGCATACAGGGGCGCCGGAACAATGTGAAGGCAAGGATTGTTTACCATTTACATGGAAAACCCATCCGGTTTGAAATTGTGCTAATGGTAAGCAAAATTTCGAATAGAAAATCCCATTCGGATTATACGCTTTCCATTTAGAGTGACTGACCGAAAGGCACTGAAGGGTTGTTTACCATTTACATGGAAAACCCATTCGGTTTGAATTAAATCGCGAAGAGCCTGGAACTGGTGCAAAAATAAAAAAAAAGATGTAAATGGAACAAAATTCACCGGTTGAAACGTTCCAATCGGTAAGAGAGGACAACCTTTTCAAACAAACCGTTCATTCCGGGAAAGTTCCGGTTGGGCCGTCGAAATATGCTTGTTCATGTAAATGGTAAACAACCAAGGGCACCGAATAGATACCGGACCAGAAGTGTCACTCCTATATGTTTTGGCTGAAGGAAAACGTCCTAAATTTTTTTACGTGCTATAACGCCATCCTGGAGTGCACCCGGCACTTTGTACCTATGTTTTCCTATGAAAAACTTCCGTGTGCACTCCAGGATGGCGTCATATGATGGCGTATTTTCACGTCAGCACTCGTAAAATGTCGGACAAAATATCGTCTGAGTGACACTTCTGGTCCTGTATCTATTCTGTGGCAAGGGGGCAGATTTTAGTGAAAGGGCACTTTTGAATTGATATATACTAAGAGATGCTTACAAAACATCGGGAGTTGAACTTCGCCTAATCTTGTTTTCTATTTATTGGATGATAGGGGTGTGAGGGGGTTCTCCGCCAGAAGATTGTGCTATAACGGCTATTCTCGAAGCTCGATGACAGCATTTCTTGCGTTTGTTGAAGCAAATTCGTAAAAAAAATTGCACTAACATTTCTGACAATTCGCTATTTCGCCAAGGTAATCCTTTAAATTGAAAGGGCACCTTTGCCCCCCTAGCCCCTCCTGGTAAAGAGCAACGGGAGCGGCTGCCCCTCCTTCCCCCCCCCCAGTTCGGGCGTCCCTGGTAGCATAACAATAATGAAAACCGTTGTCGAGGAGTGTATCACTGATCAAAAATCTCGTACAGCTTGAAAAAATCACGAAAATGTCCCCGAAAATCTCTAATAATCAGTCCCTCAAGATCCTAAAAATATTTGTATAAAATCCCTGAAAATCCCTGAAAATCTCTAGAAATCCACAAATCCCGTAAACGTCTCTAAAAGTTTCTGAAAATCTCTAAGAATCCCTACGATCTCGAAAATAATCCTAGACAAAATCCTAAGCGATTTTTGAAATCCACAAAATCTGGGATCCCCTCACGCACTGAGGGCTTTGCACGTACATGTACCTATAGTAAAATCACGTACCAAGGACATTCAGACATTGTTCTTTCATTGTTTGAAAGTGACACTGTTATTTATACTATCTTCTCGCTTATTGATGAGCATTGATTGATCAAACGATTGTAAAGTGAGTCGTTGTATTTTCAATTCGTGCCTCTATCCAGCCCTAATTTTGAGATCAGTAAATGTGTTGACAATTTTTCCGACAGTTCTACGACAATATCCGAACATCGACATATTTGACTTTTTTAAATACAACAATGGCGGGAGTTATTTACCGCCGTTGTTTAAAATGTTTGTCGACATGGAAAACCGTAAATTTTACAATAAAACCAAGTTCTTTTTATGGAAAAACTTTTAAAAGGACACACAGTTCGTCAAATTGGGCGGAAAAAGTCACTGCAAATAAGCTGAAAGCAGTTTACAAGTCCAGAAAACATGCGAGTCTCAACGGTGAGTTTTTAAAATACTTTCATAAAAACATGTTAGTCAGTTTTGAGCTTGCAGTAGTGAGTTTGCTTTCTCGGGTTTTTTTTATCGAAATAGGTAATCATTAGGCTTATATTTTTTTACGACAATCGCTTTCCATATATATTTTAAAATGCTATTAATTTGCTCATGACATTTAATGCTGAGTATTTCCTAAACTGTTATATTAGAGGAAAACAACTTTAATAAAAATTGTCAATTAATATTTAATTTTCCCTTTAACAACTTATTTTCTTTACATAATTTTTCTTGAGGAGTTTTGTTTAATATTTGGTGGATTTATATCTTTTGCACGCTTAGGAAGAAAGGCAAGAAATGTATTTTTCGTAATTTTTGAATAGCGAACAATGAATACTGGCAAATTTCAATTCAGCCATTGTCCAAGAAACTTGCATTTAAATCATCTGCATTTACCTGCATCATTCGTACGAGTAACTAGGGAAATTTGTCTGAAATATTGGAAACTTATAATATGTGTTGAAAATTCTAACAACTTTAATTCATGGAGTAGATATTATCTAAATGAAATTTGAAACGACATATTGAAAGCAGACCTCGTCAAGACGAACAAGTTATGCCTGACAAGTTTCGTTTGACAATTTTTTTTTGTGATTTTTTCAAGTTTTTTTTTGTTTTTTTTTTCGTTTGTCAAAACCATGCTAAAAGCATTCTTGTATGTACACTTATCAAGTTTCCTTGGTGGCCGTACATACGAACGCTGGCAATACTAGCTTTGGAACAAAGATCTTTGGCAAGACAAAATTGTCATTTTTTGCCGTGCACACGAGCAAATAAAACATGTCAAGGAAAATGGGGCTTAAGGTACTGGCTCCCTGGAGTTTTCTAAAATTTTAAGTATTTTACTAGGTAAGCCATGCCACGTTTTCAACCCAATTTGAATTAAATGAACTTGAGGTGGCTCCCTGCAGTTGTAAAGAAACAGCAGCGAAAAATAACGTCTGCACAATGACGCAAAATATTTGCTGTTTATGTGAAATGTGGATTTTTTGGAAGTAGAAACGCTTGCGTAATCTTTATACTTCAAGCATAATCGTTCGAAAGAAGCAAATTGTGTGTTACTATGGTAACAATGTGACCTAAACGACAGCAGATAAAGATCAAATTTTGAACTAAAAATGAAATTATTAAAATTTCCTTCTGTCAAAGTTTCTAAAATTTTACAGATATAAAGGGAATACCTAGTGAATTATTCAAACAATTAAGG